GGCTAGTGCAAGAAGAGAGTGCAATAAGTACGGTGAAAATTAGGGTGTCAATAGTGAGAGAGTGGTTAGAGTTAAGCAGAAAATTGATAAAGAAAGTGCACGGTGCGATACGTATGTATGGGAGAGTGGTAAGACTGTTAAAGAAACCAAAGACTGTGAGGACGGTGGTTAAGAGGATAGTAAATAGTTGTGATAGACTTTGTAGGTTAGGTATGAAATCAAGGCTATTACTTTTTGAGTCATGTTACTTGTTTTTATATTTTTTGATACTTTTTGATATAAATTTGATATGCAAGTTAAGTTTTAGTAATAGTATATGGAAATCACCAAAGTATGGGGTTGGTGAATTAGGGTTAGGTTTGAATTTAAGACTAAGCATAGATTATAAGGCTTGTACGTATACAGAGAATAAGGAAGAAAAAAGGAAAAAAAAAAGGAAAAAAGAAGAAAAATGAAAAAAAGCAGTGCGGTAGTTGATAAGATAGATATAAGACGAATAACAGGGGATGAGGCGAGAAGCGGCGGCCTCAAAATTGCAATAAAGACAGTATTTAACAGAAAAGACTGTTTATTAGTTTATAGAAGAGGTTATATTTTGATAAGTATTTACATTAGAGATAATATAAATTTTATATTTTTATACCGGATTTTGACGAAGGAAAAATATGTTCCTGATAGTTTTCATTATTTCACAAATACTATGTTATGTTATAGTCGTGTTGCATATTTTAAAAGTATTTTGAAATTAACTTTGTATGGTAATGAGGTGGGAGGAGTATGGTTGTGTGGAAGGGGCGATGATGATGGAAGGATGAGAGGAGTGAGAGGAACGAATGAATGTGTTGACAAGTGTGATGTGGTGTTTGCGCTCGGTGGGGGGAAGAAAGATGGGGTGCGGGGAAAGATAAAAGAGGAGAAAGAGGAATGGGAAAAAGGAAAGAAAAAGGAATGGTGGGGGAAGGTGAAAATAATAAGAAAAATGGAATTGGTGGAAGGGATTGTGTACTTGAGAAGGGGATGAGGTGTGGGTTGTGGAATGCAAGGAGTATGAGAAACAAGAGGGAAGAGGTGAGAAGGCTAGTAGAGGATTTGGATCTACTGGCAATAACGGAGACGTGGCTAAGGGAAGAAGACGGATTTAGAATCCCGAGGTGGCATTTAATAAGGAAGGTATATTAAGAATAACGAAGAAAAAAAAAAAGGGTAAAAAAAAAGGAAAAATGGAAAAAAGAACTTTTGTAATTAATAAGATAGATATAAGGCGAATAATAGAGGATGAGGCGAGATTTTGTGACCTCAAAAGTACAATAAGGACAGTATTTAACAGAAAAGACTGGTTATTAGTTTGTAGAAGATGTTAAGAGAGGCTGAGAATATTTTTATACTTACTTACATCAGAGATAAGATATGTGTTCTGTTTTTTATACTGGGTATTGATGGAGGCAAGATATGTTCCTGACATAGTTTCTATTTTTATAAATATTACGCAATGTTACAGTCGTTGGTTATAATTTAAAAAACATGTTGAAGGTAATTTTGTATTGTGAGGATGTTAGAGGAGTATGGATGTGTGAGAAGAGTAACGACGGTGGGAGGGTGAGAGAAGTGAGAGGGATGAATGGTCGGGGTGGCAAGTGTGAAGTGTTGTTTGCGCTCGGTTGGGGGAAGGAGGTAATGGCATTGGAAAGGCTAAAAGAGGAGAAAGAGGAAAGGAAAAAAGGGAGGAAAACGGGATGGTGTGGAAAGAGGAGAATGATGAAAGAAATGGAATTTGCGACAAGGGCTGGGTATATAAGAGAGGGATGAGGTGTGGGTTGTGGAATGCAAGGAGTATTAGGAATAAGAGAGAGGAGGTGAGAAGGCTATTAGAAAGCTTGGACCTGTTGGCAGTAACGGAGACGTGGTTAAGGGAAGAAGATAGATTTAGAATCCTTGGTTGGTACTTAATAAGGAAGGATGGGGGGACAGGAAACAAGGGAGGGGGTTTGTGTATAATGGTCAGAGAAAATGTGAAGATAATGAAAGCCGACATTTATTTGAAGGATGATAGGGTGTGGGAAAATATGGTAGTAGAGATTGAGACAGAAAAGGGGAAGCTAGAAATTGTGCTGGTATATAGGAGACCTGGTACGAATATAAGCAGAGAGGATTGTAGAAGACTGTTTAGAGGTATGGGGAGAGATACTAGGAGGATGTTTATAGGGGATTTTAATGCGAAGAGCATTAGTTGGAATTGTGAAGGGGGGGACCTGGCGGGGTCATTGCTGGAGGAGGTTATGGATGAGGAGGAGATGGTTGTGGTAAACTTTGGAACAAAGTCTAGGATTGGGGGAGTGGAGCAGGCAGCATCGAATATAGATCTAATTGTTGCACCGGCGGGGCTGGCTTTGGACTTAGAGGTTAGGGAGACTGGGGAAACTCTTGGATCCGACCATCAGGTGATTGAGTTTGATATATACGATGAGATGAGACTGTTGGAGAGGAGGATAGGAGGCAGGAGATTTAAAATGGAAAAAGTAGACAAGGCTGAGTTTCTGAAATGGATGTTAGGGAAAGAGGAGATCTTATTGAGGATGGTAAAGTCTGAAATAGGGGTGGAAAGAAAATGTGATGAGGTACTGAGATTGTTAGTGGAAGGAATAGAGGGCAGCTATAGAGGAAATGCTAGGGGGAACAGTAGTACGAATGGGACCAGAAGGGGAAGGGAAGACGGAGGGGGAAATAGGGTAAATGGGAATAGGAGGGCGGTGAAGAGACAGCCGTGGTGGGACGGTGAGTGTGAGGAATTGAAGGAGGGAAGGAGAAAAGCCACGAAAGAAATGGGGAGGAGACCGTCAGAGGAGAACTGGAACAAGCTGTTAGAAGCTAGAAAGAAGATGAAAATAACGATTAATAAAAAGAAGAAGGAGGCATGGGAAGAGTTTATTAAGAGTATAAAGCATAAGGGAAATATAGGAGAAATGTGGAGAAAAATAAAGAGTCTGACAAAGGGAGTGACGATGGAAGAGCAAAACGGTTTAGGAGCGTGGAAGATCCAAGAGATGGAGGAAACCGAGGTAAGGAAGCTAGAGGTTTCTGGATACTGTTGTAGAATTGAAGAGGAAGAAGGGGCTGAGGTGGAGAGAAATGAAGGAAGAAATGGAACGGAGACGGAGAGCATTATGGACGAGGAAATGGATGACGATGGTGGTGAGGAGGAGGGATGGATAAGCAGAGATCTGGAGATAGAGGAATTACAGTGGGCACTGGCCACTTCGAGGGGGAAATCTGCTCCAGGGGAGGATGGAATCGGGTATGAAGTTATTAAGTTATGGACGAAAGGGTGGAAGGAGGCGATGCTAGGACTATATAATGAGATATGGAGGAAAGGAATAGTTCCTAAAAGCTGGAAGAAGGCGGTAGTAAAATTTATTCCTAAGGTACAAAAGAGGGCGTTGAGACCTATTTCTTTGCTGAATTGCATGGGGAAGGTTCTGGAGAAAATGATTAATGAAAGAATCAGGATATGGGCGGAGGAGGAAGATAAAATAGACACTAATCAAAACGGTTTCAGGAAGGGTAGATCGACAATGGATAACATCGGAATTCTGACTAACAGGTGTAAAAGAATACTGTATTGCGCATTAGATCGTTACATTGTATGTAATATATGTTGTGCATTGTATATATGTGTTATGGCGTGATCGGTGGCGGGCATCGAGGCCAACCGAAATTCCGAGCGACGATCGGCAGTTGTCATTGACGTTGTCGGTGGCAATAACGGTGAGAAAAAAGACATTCGATAAAAACGTGTTACGACGTGCACATCGTGCACATTGCCTTCCGTTACTTTTTATTTATTAAAATATATATATATATAGTTTATTAACCATCTATAACGAGTAACGCCTTTTTTTATTCATCCTGACAAGACTATTACAATTTCAGAACAGGATAAAGGAGAGCTGGGGAAAAGGAAGAAAGGTGGTAGCGGCGTTTGTAGATGTGAAGTCTGCATACGACAATGTGAGACATGATATAATGATTCAGGGACTGGTTGACGCTGGCTGTCCAGGAAGGATGAGGAAATACGTAGAAGCGTGGCTTAGGGATAAAGAGATAGCGATCCATACGATGGGAGGTAACAGGGTTAGGATGAAATTGAAAAAAAGGGCTACCTCAGGGGTCGGTGTTGAGCCCCTTGTTGTATAATTTGTACACGAGAGGTATAGCGGAGGGGTTGAGGGAGAGTGGGGTTGGGATCCTTCAATATGCGGACGATATTGTTATATTTGTTGAATTTGAGAAGAGGGGAGAAGGAAAGAGGAGGATAGAGAATGCAGTAAAGAGACTGAAAGAAAACCTAGGAAGATTGGGATTAGTAATAGCGATGGAAAAGACTCAAGTGGTGAAGTTCTTGAAAAGTAAGAGGAGAGGAGGATTGGCTAGGGAAGAGTTTGTGGTGGATAATGAGAAAATAGAGGAGATGAGTGCGGCTAAGTTCCTGGGGATGTGGTTGGATGGAGATTTGGACTTCAAGAAGCACACGGAGTATACAGTGGCCAAGTTGAAGAGAAGGTTAAATATTCTGAAGTGCCTAGGGGGGATAAGAAGGGGCACTGGGCCCGAAACAATATTGAAAGTATTCGTAGCGGTTATCAGATCGGTGATTGAATATGGGGCACCTTTTTATCTGAGTGAGAGGAAGAATAGAGAGAAAATTCAAAAGATTCACAATGCGGGTATTAGGATTGCGCTAGGTTATAGGATATCAACGCCGATAAACGTGATGGAGACGGAGGCGGGAATAATGGATATGGAAACAAGGATGAGGAATTTAACGGAATGGTACATAGCTAGGAAGATTTGGAGTGGAGATGGGGAGGTAATGGGGGCGATAGAGAACAGGATTAGGAATAGCAATGAGGAGGAAGTCAGGGAAGGTAAAGATATGATAGTAGATGCCTGGAGAAAGATTGAGGAGATAGATGGAGTATGATGCAGAGTGGAGAATATATAGAATGGAAAGATGTTTGGAGTGGGAGTGTGGTAAGAGGTTTGAGGTAGATTGTATGAGTGAGAATATGCTTTTAATGGAAATTAAGAGCAAAATGTTTAGCAGAATGGAGGATATTGTAGAGATTTATACAGACGGGTCGAAAATAGAAAATAGGAAAAGTGGAGGAGGTGCGGTGGTGATTAGAGAAATGGGAAAGGAGTGGGTGGAGGAATATTTTACAGCTCCTAGTCAGTGTTCAATATATACCATAGAATTGACAGCAATAATGAGGGCGATAGAAATTGCAGACGATAAGTTTAGAGGAAGGAATGTTCTGATTCTGTCGGATTCGTTGAGCACGATAGGTAAGCTGGCAAATGACAACAGAGGACAGGATATGGGGGATGAGATTGACACGATTAGAAATAAACTGAAAAAAAGGAATTTCGAGATGGAGGTGGGCGATGGATTGGTGGGAAAAGTGGTGTTGGCCTGGGTACCGGCACATGTTGGGATAGAGGGGAATGAGAGGGCGGATAGGGTGGCAAAGGAGGCCACTATGGGGGATGCGGACTTTTGGGTGAAGTTTACGATAAAGGATGCTAGAAGGGTTATAAGAGAGAGAGGATGGATAGAGTCAACAGAAAAACACTTGAGACAGGGAGAGTATAAGGGCAGGAAATATTTTGAGGCAAAGTGGAATAATGTGGGGAAGGAATTTCCATGGTTTAGAGGTATAGGAGAATTAAAGAGAGAGACTTTGTGTAGTCTGAGTAGAATTAGGGCGGACCACTACAATTTAAATTGGTCCCTCTTCAGAAAATATATGGTGGGAGATCCGTATTGTGAGGTGTGTGAGAGAATAGAGGATATTGAACATGTGCTGTGGGAATGTGATAAATACGATATAAGGAGGAATGAGTTTGTTAGTAGGATGAGGGCTTGTGAGGTGAGAAGAGGTTGTGGGTTTTATGAAACCAAAAAGATAGGGGAAGCGAAACTCTTGAGGCTGATAGGTGCCTTTATTAAACAATGCGGATTGAAGCTGTGATATACATGCAAAGTACAAAAATGTCTAGAGGCAATAATGAAATCATAGTATATAAGATATCATATTGTAAGGAGTGTGGAATGATAAGTGTGAGTGTGGCGTTTAATGCGTGTGCGCTGAAGGGTGCGGTAGTCAGGAGAAAGCAGGGGTGGAAGATTGTAGGTAGAGTGGAAACCGAGCGCAAACGGAGAAGTGATGGAGGGGAGGGGAATTGCGTGAAAGACCCGTTGGCGGCGCTGATGTATGAGGAGATGATGTTGTAAGACTTGTTGTAGTGGAGGAATGAGTCGGCGTGTCGGCCAAAACGCCATCTTCCTAGGAAGAAATAAAAACCTTAAACCTTAAACCTTAAAGAAATGTGGAATAAAACTGTAAGAATAAAGGTTAGGGAAAAAGCGAAGAGAGGTGGTATGTGGAGTGAATGTGAAATGGTGGCGCTGCCGACTGGGGATAGACCTAGGGAAATGTAAAACCTTTGTATGGGCAGAATGAGCCCCTACGGGGCTCAAGCGCCTTCTTCCTTGTGAAGAAAATAAAGAACTAAACTAAACTAAACTAAAAATACATATTTTCTGCTGCACCTGGCGGCACTGGTGACGTTTAGGCGTACTATTGGTGTTAATTGACCTGTTGTCTGTGGCGTGGCGCGTATGTTTTTATTTTTAACCGACTTCGAAAAAGGAGGAGGTTACTCAATTCGATCAGTATATTTTTTTTTCTATGTGTGCCCGCCGATTACGCCTAGCTGGATGGAACGAAACCTTTTGCATCTGGTAGGTTCTGACTCCCCATTGATACCATTATAAAAAAATTTTTCATTTTTTAATTGCAAAGTATTGTTATTGCAAAAAAACCGGCAACTTTTGAAATAAACTTTTCTCGATTTTAGTGCGCTTTTAATATCTTATCACGGACATGATTCTGAACAATTTTGTTCTTATACAAATTTCGCGGAAAGCTTTAGTTTTCGAGATATTAGCGAAAAATTGTTGAAAAGTTTTGAAATCAACTTTGGACGATTTTAATGTCCTTTTAATATATTATCAGGGACACGATTCTGAACAACTTTTTCCTTATCCGCAACTAAGGGGAAGCTTTAGTTTTCGAGTTATTAGCGAAAAACTATTGTTACTAATATATTGAATTCTACGTATGCCTCCGTGTCTCTGGTGGTGTATGAGTCAACATGCCGTCGCCGATTTTCTACTGTTTCTACAAACACGTCTTGTCGGCCGAAAACACTGTTCAACACGAATTTTGTTTTCTAATACCTATAGGGTGATCGTTGTAGAGTTTCTCGTCCTGAACAAGAATCCGAAAACCGAATTGCTCTGTTACCCTCAGTTTTTGAAAAACACGAGCTTTTGTAAAAACACGTGTTTTGGGTAGAAAATGCGATATTGCGAGAAAACTAAAAAAGCTAGGACATTCAAATTAGTTTTAAAAGATAGAGGAGAGTGTCCCGATTAAATTGGTATATATCATTATTATATTGCATAATTCTAAGTGGGTGTAAATATTGATGAAAGTTTAAAAAACGGCCGTGGTACGCATTTCCTACGTATTATTTTCTATTGTATACATTGTGTTTTTTCTATATTATAAACAGATTTGAAAACTGTCCTTAATCATTTGATTTTTAAATTTTGAATTATAATATTTTATAATTGTATCGTTGGTAGCTAAAAATAATAACGAATAATAACAAAATATGAATAATAATAATTATGAAATAATAATATTAAAAAAAATTAAACATTGTAAATATAAAAAGTGGATGTATATTAAGCCCCATCATTGATGTTGATTGCGCTCGTCACTCACGTCACCGAGATTTTGCGGAAAAAAGTCCAAATGCGAATGTAAAAAATGCATCTTTAGTGACATGTTGCAGCCAAGTTTTTTGCATGATTTTAAAAGTTTATTGACTAATGAAACATAATTTTCTGCTCTGTAATTTCCGAAAAAGTTTTCTATGGTTTTATTAAAGACAAGCCACACTTCCTTTTCCAAGTTATTCAGTTTTGCAGTGAAATTGTCATCATTCTGGCAACAAACGTGTGGAGCTCACTGCTTATCCTGATCACTAAGAGCGCATCGAAAACAATGTTCATACGCGAACTTTATCAGAGGTGTTACACTTCTACACTGAGATCGTAGAACTACCTCCCCACAAATATAACAAAAAGAGTCTGGCGAATTTAAACACGATCGCGACATTATTACTTTACACAAAAAACACTATAAAAAACACTGTAACTTACAAGTATTTATAAGATTATAATAACTATAATAATAACTATAACTATAATAACTATAATAATAACTATAATAACTATAATAATAACTATAATAACTATAATTACAATAACTATAATAAGACTATAATAACACAAAATCACACTATACACTATAATTAATCACAATGTATGCACTAAAGTGTTTGTACGATCGAAACTCAACCAAAGACTCTCAATGTGTTCGATTCACACTGTTCGTTAAAGTTGGAAACTAAGATCATTTTAATGTTTCGCCGCCGAAATCTCGGATACGAATGTTTTACTGTTTGACTGTTGTTACAAAAATTTTCCTATTAGAGTTAAGAAACGTGGTACAAGTAAACTCGTGTGGGTGTGTTTGACGGGGGTAGTTTTCTGTGATTCGTTTAAAAAATTCGTGGTGAGGGTTATTAAGTGACCGCCTACATGTGACGTCATGAAATTCGGGAAAAACCCTGAAATGGTCATGTCGGTCTCACAGTATCTAATGGAAATAGGATATGGTTTTATAGAGTTTATAATAAATTGTACACACGAAATCAACGTTAAACTGAACTTTATTTTCTACTATGATCACGGAGGATGTCTGTACTGTAAGTAATAAACGCAGGCAAACGGTGACTTTAAAGAAACTCGCATGGTTCGTAAGGGCTTTATGAGTTTATTACTGCCCTAGAGGGTTTAGAATTCGTAAAGACGACAGTTATACTGTTTAATGGTTTTTTACAAATATTAAAACATTGTATTCTTTATGGAAATTAACGGACGCGGTATCTGAGGATCGTTAAATAACTCAACGCTATTTCAAACTGTGAACAATATGGTTTATTTAGCAGGCAACTTTCTATTGTATACATTGTATTTTTTCTATATTATAAACAGATTTCAAAACTGTCCTCAATCATCTGATTTTTAAATTTTGAATTATAATATTTTATAATTGTATCGTTGGTAGCTAAAAATAATAACGAATAATAACAAAATATGAATAATAATAATTATGAAATAATAATATTAAAAAAAATTAAACATTGTAAATATAAAAAGTGGATGTATATTAAGCCCCATCATTGATGTTGATTGCGCGTAGCTACGGCACTGACTTGGCGAGCGTGCTATGGCCGCCTGGCGGCAAAACGCCGCGTCCGTGCTCCCGGCAGATATTTTTTCGATTTACTGGAATTGCATACAGCTACAACACTTACCCCGTATAGACATTTCTGATGAAGAAACTATGCGGGGTATGTGTTGTAGCTGTATGCAATTCCAGTAAATCGAAAAAATATCTGCTGGGTGCACGGACGCGGCGTTTTACCGCTAGGCGGCCATAGCTCGCTCTCCTCGCCAAGTCAGTGCCGTAGTTACGCGCAATCAACATCAATGATGGAGCTTAATATACATATTATATATATTTTTTTTTTTTTTTTTAACGTGGGGGAAATCTTCGAAAGATACCCCGGGCCCTGGGGGAGGGCGCGGGGTTATGCCGGATTCTTACCGGCTAAAACCCCCACGGTGGTCCTATGAAATCTGTTTATAATATAGAAAAAGTGAAATGTATACAATAGAAACTTACCTGCAGTGAGTGAATTTAGAAATGTTTTCGTTTTGCCTGACGTTTGTATCCCGCATCTTTGTTGTCCTGCATTAGAGTCCCGTTCCGAAAGTGATGTTCATTCTAGTGATGAGACTAGCAGTCCGATCATATTGCATCATAAGAAAAGAAAAGTTATGCCCATAAAATATTCAAGTGACGAAGAACATGATGTAAAAATAGATTTCGTATATTTACCGAAACCAGCTACAACCTAGTGAAAATCACGTATGAAAAGCTAGCGACCGATAAGGGTTGACCGATAAGGGTTAAGAAAACAAAATACGCCGACTTCGAAATGCACTAAAAAGTATAAAATAATTTCTATTTGCTAATGAAGTAATTTCTATTTCATTCAATCATATAATTACGTAACAGATATGAATGAAACCTATTTACTCGTTATGTAGTATCTTAAATACATTTCAATCTTTTCGGAGGCGGTGCATAATTAAAAATACCTCAGTAAACGTTGCTGCCAATAACCAGTTGATTATGGTATGGCGTATTGGAAATTAATAAATCCTGAGAAAGAATACGAACCATTATAGATATATCTGGTAATATACGTAAATGTAACGACTGCATCTTCATTTCGCAACGTTTCTGATATAAATGAAATTGAATCGACTTCGTTCGCATGTGGAAGCCATGGATCTAAGAACCTATAAACGGAGCCCACGACGCGGGAATTACCAAATTTGCGGCAGATGGGCTCTATCTTTATAGTATATGCGGCGATCGAGTCTTTCCGTCGCATACTCTATAAATCTAGATAGAGCATAGTTACATTCTATACGGACTAACACCTACTCCGCGGCGTGCTGTCGAGTTATATGTATAGAAAAAAAAATAGCTATACAAGCTTTGCCTATGTTCGGCTGTCTAAAGGTTGATATGTTCAAGAAAATCTTTTAATTTTGCGCCGCCTTCGAAAAGGTTGAAATGTATTTAATATACTACCTAACGAGTAAATAGGTTTCATTCATATCTGTGACGTAATTGTATGATTCAAAATTAAATAGGTTTAATTCATATCTGTGACGTAATTGTATGATTCAAAGAAATAGAAATTACTTCATTAGGAAATAGAAATTATTTTATACTTTTTAGTGCATTTCGAAGTC